TCGCCGTCTCTCGGGGATTTCGGGAACCTCGTCGGGGATTCCCCTACCTTGCGCGGAGCCGCGAAACGTCTCCAACGGAGGGGATGCCCTGTCGTTGCGGTGGGGGTTGTAGACGAAGGGAAGAGAGGGCTAGCCACGGCAAAACTTTTGTCCATTCACGGCCGACACGCTCCTAATTGGGAGTACGCTCCGAGGTCTCGTTCCACGCGCACGGATGCTGCTGGACCAGACCGGAACTGATACTTAGGAATCGTATTTCTTTTCCCTCGCGCTCTCGATTGACACTCACCGCCGAGTGTGATACAGATTTTTTATTTATGAAATCTACACTAATAACAATGTCAATCCTTAATCGAAAAATTACCTTCTCATCGGGAACTAATATTCTTAAATAAAAATACTATTGTAAACCCCGTACGTAAAAGTAAATTTAGGTAGAGAAGTGTAAAGATTAATAAAAATTAAATTTGTTAAACGTCAAAAGCAGATTCGAACATGCGAAAACTTTTTACGCAAAAGCGTCCTTTATATTCCACACGTCAATGTATATTCGTCGGCATTCATGCATGCTTATCTAAAGGAAGTTATATTCGCTACATACACATTCACATCTGTCAATGCAATTTCCGTTCAGTGAACAGAAAGTTTGATCACTAGAATTGAATGTAGTGTTTTTTTTTTTTCAATCATGGTCTTGAGAGTTGCTATTTCGTGTCGAAATTGCAGACATTGTTGCAACGATTTTTTTACAGATTTGTTTTATAGAAATACACACACACACACACACAGAATGGATTCGCGACGACCTAATTTTGCAAAATGTTGCACGACTAGCTGAATTCGAATGTGGTACAAAAATCGTTATCTGATATTAATTCTTTGTTTATGACTCGATATGCTACAAATTATTGCCGTTATTTTATAAGTATTTGTATTTGAGAAATATTCGAAATATGATTCAACTTTCATTGTGTGTAACTTTCAAAATTTTGAAAGAGTTTCCTAAAGAATGCTCATGTGTAATAAAATAAACAATGGAATAAATGGTTTTTTGACAAAATTTTTTTGTAATAAAAAAGATTTCGAAGTAATTCTAATTCAATTGACGAGGAAAATAATTCATGAAGATATTACATTTTTTCGACGTGAGTTTTTTATGTTGTGCAATAATGACGAATCAGCGTCAATATGAAAGTCAATATGATGATGTCGAGAAATGTACCATGCTAACGAGCTGAGAGACTCACTCGATTGTCGTCGATAGTACGCGAGTCAGAAAATTGCGCTGCAATCTTCTGCGCGTCGCCAGACGGAGCAACGTACTTTATGCTATCGCGCGTTTTGTCATATGGATGCTTTATGGAATTACTATGAAAGAAACTACTCTCACAATGAGAGACTCGTCGGAAAGAACCTACTGTATAATTCCTATTATAATCATAGTCTTTACTAGTTATGGTTCTGATCTAATGATGCCTCTAAAATGGCAAGCCATTTGCAACTATGCTTGATTTAGAAACCGCATCGAATTAAAAGTACGAATTCACACTGCTCAACTACCGCGTCGCAGTGAGAGACGTTAATTCGCTTTCACGATTTTACACTTTAGTCGGAAACGTTTTGGTGCGCGTTATATTATTCAGACGTTACTTTATACTATTCAGACGTTACATTTATATTGTTCAGACGTTACTTTTTACCGTATAAATAATTTTAGAATAATCTTACTAAAATGATTGAAAAAAACATACTTAATAATGTAATTAATACGACATTCTAACAAGATCCGACTTTCATATTAAGTATTAATATCACTTAATTCGTTCTTTTTGTCTCTCTTTCTCTCTTCCTTTCTCTTCCCCTCCCCCCCTATCTCTCTCTCCCTCTCTCTCGCTCTAAATCATATACTTTATTTTTCAATTAATAGAATATATAATAGAAAAATTATTATAATATAAAAATTGTAAAATTTTCGCGATAGAGCTGATATTTGAAGCCTCAGATTTAATCTGAAGAAATTTCAATTTTCCTAGGTTAGACGAACGGCGTACCTACGTCATTAGCTCGTAGCCTAATCAATAGACATAATTATGAAACTATGCGCCATTAATAGTCCCAAGCCGCGCGGGTCATAATCTCGTGGTGAAGGACGGTGCGGTACTAGTTCGCGCGTTATTAAGCGGGTGTATTTTATAGGAAACCGGTAGTTGGGTAATAACGAGCGAGGGTTGCCAACGTTCGATTATGGTTCCTTAACATTATTACATGCTAAAAGAGAATAACTAATAAAATGTACTGCATTGTGCTTTCCAAGCAATATTAAATTCCAATTATAATGTTAGAAAATCTTAACATTTAATTTAAAATTTATATCTGCTCCTATACTGATATAACAGTATTAGTTTATTAACTTACATTTTATAATATTATTGTAATAGTAAATACAATTTTGAATAAGAAGATTGGAAAAGATAATATTTAAAACAAGCAAATATATGTAATTTGTATATACTTTGCTTTTTTAAAGAAAAAATCTTTGAAAATCAATGTTTTATTTCTTAATAAATAATATACAGAAAATATATTAAATTTACTTGCTGAACTAATTTAAGACACGATAAATTATAAATTATTGAAACATCCGGTAAAATATCAAATTTTTTTACGGAAAGTCGTCGTTCATTGACATCTGTCCGATTCCTTCCTTTTTTCGTCTCGTAGTTGATTTTCCGCTAATCAAAGGATGCGACAATCGTTTGCATTTCCTGTAGCCAGTCACTAACATCGGCACGTTTCAGTGGGGCTTTATCGTTTATCAGCTAGCGACAACCCCCTTCTATGTCGGCCACTTTGCCGCAAGTCGGCCGCGCCATCCCCAAATCGCTAAACTATCCTCCAAACACCAAGTACCGCACTAGGGAAACTTCGATGTTAGCCACCCTCACACCTTCGGCGTTTGACCCTAGAATCGGCCAAGTGGCCGAGAATCTGACCAACGAGCAATTACGGACGAGGTGTCGAAAGATTTTGCGGTGGAAGATTTACCACTAACGGACATTATTTACACGAGTTGACTGACAAAGCAATTCTATTTTTGAGATATGCCCAAGACTCGCCACTCGATAGTGATGTTTGACAAAACGTTTGAAACGTACAAATTATCTTAATGAGCAAGCGACTTATAAATCACGCTGCATACTGACTGACAGCTATACATTTGTCAACCACGAGCATGTTAAATCCTTTTTAATATCTTCTACCTTCACGAGAAATGACAGAATTTTTTTTCTTACTAATAGTCAACGATACAAATAGTTCCCAATTATGGGACTTACGGTAAATGATCATCGTCGGCTTTAATAGATATCAATAGCTCACGTTATTCGTCAATATTGTCAGAGAAAGTGCAGTGATTTAATTTTTCCTCATTAATTGTTCTCGGTGTACGTATCGATTTGTCGATACACAACAGTTATTGAAACAGAAGAATTCGTATAAATACTCATGAAATATACTCTTAAACAGCACGTTGTTATTAACCTGCTCCGATATTTCGCCTGTCAATTAAATTCGTATGCTTGCTTTAAGAATTTCGCGATGTCGGTGATGTGACAGATGAAACGTTTTTATTTATCGGCAAGTAAATTTTACGAAAATTTAACGTAAAGTTGCACGACAGTTATTAGGAAAATCCGATATGTAACGGTCACTAACTAACAAATATAGATACATGATTTTGGAGCAAATGCGAAAAAGAGATCATTAATATTAATAATTCATTTCTCTCTGAACTTATTTTAGTAAGTAAAGTATTGATACGTCATACAGCAGTCTAACGTGTATTAAAATTTAGCTTTCAGATCTAATGCTTCTCGATTTTCGAACGGTAATATATTTCTCATTTATGCTCTGAACTGTTATTAATAATCTTATATTAATCTTTCACTTTCTTTCATGCCCCATATTCTCTATATACTTTTGCAATCAATTAAAATTACTCGCGAGGATTTCAAAGACGTAAAAACAAATGCAAAATTTACCTATTTTACGGTAGATTATATATTTAATCGCAGTACTATTGTAACGACATGTCACGTACACGGAGCTAATCTTACCTAGTAGTTACTAATAGATACTCTGTGCGCGAATATACACGAGTCATCGTTACCAGTAATAAATATAATGTTGAACATTCTTATCGGTTCTTTATCCAGCTCTATATTTAACATTTTGATAGCAACACAACATATTTTTCTTTTTTTTTTTTTACGCTTTCTATAATTTAATTTGTAATTATCAAGACCGCACTGCTAACCAACGGCATTGAAGAATATCGTAGCGACATTTATAACGCAATACTAGCATGTGTAAACAGAAAAACGTAAGGCTCTTCAAAGTGTGTGTATTTTTCTTTCGAATTACGTGGACGGCTTGTCCCATCGCGCAAATACCGACAACGCGTCGAATAACTGTGTTGCCCGCATCGAGTAGATTTTCTGATTTAAACGTTCCTACTAGCAGCGAACGCGTGACACGGTCGAACCCTCCGGCAACCCTCCGGGATTATCTCACCCTATGCCAAAGCGGAGCGGCCCATTTCCGGATATACGTAGAATGAACGCACACCTACGAAGCTCTCTCTCTCTCTCTCTCTAACGCAAAATACACCCAATCGGCACAATCGTGATCACTTTGCTCTCGCGTGACCCAAAATACTCGCTACTCAGCCTATCCGCACTAATCCTCGTCACCGAAGCAACGTGCACGCAGCATAACAATCGCAATCACTCTTCTGTCACGTAACGGAGGGATATCTTCTTTACACTCGCACTGATCGGCAGTGGAAAATTCTTTTCCGGCGAAACATTTGGCCGATCGGTCGTGATATCGGACACTTGATAGTCTCGCATGACAGGCAATGCGGGGAAGATTCACAGTAATCAACACCGAACTATCCCGTGGGAGTCAGTGAGCGAATGCACATCGTGTCATGCACTTACCTGTTGCCAGAAGTGGGCAAGCGTGAATAAGGGCTCCTTCTTGTAGAGCCATTCCATGGTCGTTATATTCCGCGAGTTGGCCTCCGCGGAGGCCTGCATGCTGGCCAATGCCGCTGAGTTCAGACTCGCTAGTATGGGCTGTTGGAGCGCCGCTGTCACGACGGAGGTGTTGCTACCGGCTACCAGATTGGCGTGGTACACGGTCGCGGTCGGTGCATCCTCCGAACCACCAGTAGCCAGTAGTTGGGCCCCGATCGGCGCTGACGGCCCCTGGAGCCCCAGTGACGAAGCCACTTTGACGGCTTCGAGCTTCTCCGGCGGACGCAAAACTGCTCTTCCTCGTTTGCCGCCTCCGCCGCCGCCTCCTCCGCCTCCGTTGCCGGTCGCACTCGGGGAACACGTTTTAGGCGGCGGTTCCGTCGGTACCGTCTCTCACCGGCGGCAGTCCACAACGCAACGCGTAGCGGGTCACGCGTCCACTCGGTGGCTCGCGCTTTCGTGTTATTGCCACGCGATGAGCATCGCCGGGCTGACTGCACTCTCTCGCGGCAGCGCGCATTCGACCTTCGAGAGTTTCCCTCTCGAGAGTTTCCAACGTCGTGCGTTGCAAGTGTTTGACAGTTATCAAGCGGAGTACTTGGATCCCGGTCTCTTCCTCGTCGTTTTTCTCTGATCCGAACCGATTGTCTGGATTTATAGCGCTTCACGATTCGTTCACAAGCGCAGCGTTGAATCACGACACTTCCAATTCTCACACAGGTCAAACGGTAGTTTCACATTTGTCGAAAGCGCGCTCGGTACCGCGGCATTATCAGCACTGTGCTAAGCGTCTCGATCTTCCTCGATCGACGGATTGCGTTGATCCGTATCATTCGTCACCGTATCATTAGACTACTATCACTACTATCGGAGGGTCATGGAGCACCTAGACAGGACCATCCGCAGATTCATCAGGATCGTAGTCTCTCACAGACAGTCTGCCGATATTCAACGTAATGCTCTTCTTCGTCGTCCTCATGCGAGCAGATTTCTACCCGCTGCCGCATCACACGGCACGCATCACGGAACGGATCAGTGTTTCTCACTCGCGTCAAAAACCGGAGCTCAGTCCGCGACACTCGCGCACTTTGGGTGCACAATCGACTACACAAAAAAAAAACCAATCACGACGATGTGAACACGAAGTCTCCTCCAGTCACATGAGGAAGATCACTTCGAGATTCGGAACACTTTGGTGACACTTGAAGATAACACTCGATCGATACGCAGCGCGATTTCGAAATCCTGCTCTCCTGGTGTAATCCGTTCTCCAGCAGTCTCTTGAGTCTCATCGATGTCACTCTGATAGCAGGCCCGACGATGTCTGTGACGTTCAGTGCTGCCTTCTTTTGTCAAAGGACAGAGTAGTAAAGAGACGATTATGTTCTCGATATCCTCTTCCTCCTCTTTCTTGGCCTTCTTCCTCGTTTTTAATTCCACTGACGCACCCGGGTCGCGAACCCTTTCGTCCGCTCTCGTCCGGATGACCCCAAGAGGAGAGAACGAGACCCGTCCTAGCAGGCTCCTAACCTGAAACTAAGAGCTACCGGACGACCGATGCAATGCCTGGAGGAGGCGCAGAGCCAATGGTGGGAGATAGGCGGGATCTGCGACTCGTAGTGGGGTAGTCCAACCCCCCACACGACCAATCTTGGACTCCGAGAGTATCCCCACCACGGTCGCGCGCCGTCTGATCTCGGAAAGGACACCGCGTAAGTGGGGATAAGCCGCGAGAAGGAGCGGGAGGCCGCGGAAAGAAGCGGAGGCTGGCTAGGTGGTCCCTACCAGAGCGGATCTCATATTTTCAACTCCCCGACCGCCCTTTCCAACCCCTGCCGATCGCTAGTTCCCTTCTTCGTTCCTTACTCTTTTTCTTCTGATTTCCCATCCTTTCCATCCGATCTATCCCCCTTTCGCTCCCTCTATCAGCCTGTTTCATTTTTTCGACTTTCTATCTCCCTCTCCCTTCCTTCTCCTTCTACCGTCTTTTCTGTCTTACTTTATTCTATCTTTCTTTCTATTTTCTTGGTCCCTAACCCGCCAAAAGTCTTCGTCTTAACAACTCAAATAAATATCCTTTGTTGAAGAAACACCCAGATTAGGTTTCAAATTTGTTATGATTTTCCGAAAGATGTGTCAATGTTTCTATTGATTACTCCACTGAGTTGAAAATTATTCACATCGGTAGTAATCGAAATAATCATTGAACATTTAGTAAGATCGATTAAATTTTACAGTTTTGATTTATATATTTTTTTTAAGATCTTTTAGTTGACGATCTAATTTGATCACTATTGAATTGTGACTGAAGAAAGATATTAGATGAGAGAGGTATAAAAGAAGAAAGAAAGATAGTTGGAGAATATGGTAAAAATTACGAAGTAAATATAAAAATGAGACAATTGTGCTTTCAAACTCGGAAATTATCACAAATAGTAGAAAATATTTTGAAATAAAAATCAGAATTTAATTAGCCATTTAAATATTCCTCTATTAAATAAGATGATACTCTCTCTTTATAAGGTAAAAGTTACGGAAAAATCATGATTTGAAAAAAAAATCATTCAAACTGTCGTTTACATAAGAATAAAAAATAAAAATTAAAAGTCTCCTTCCACGCGGTGTATCCACCATTACATCTAGTGCCTCTCCTTTCTACTTAATTACTTGAAAATTACTTCAAAAAGCAGGACAAAAGTTTTCCTTCCTAAATCGTGAACTATATCTAGCTGAAATTTAACAGCTTAAAACAAATCGACAGAAATACTTTAATCAATAACATCGTTCATTTATTGAACACGCAGTTAAAAAATGAATTAATGAAATTTCGTTGTTTAAATAGCCAAATAATTCAGTTCACGAAATAGGCGAGAGATTTCTTAAATTTTTTAATTTCTTTACGATATATATCTGTTCGAACAAATTGCGTGATTGTAGAAAAATACTTTGTATCCAAAGTTCTTCGTATCAAGGGACAAGATAATGTTTTAATACCGAATGAAAAATTTGATATGCTATGTATTTTTACGATCCTAATCAACCGACAAAAAAGGAAGAGGAAAAACTGCAGCACTGAGCATTTAATATCAGAATTATTCTTGTCGCGGTGTTATGGGGTTGACTTACGCGTCGTAAATAAAAAAATAGGCTAAGGGCACACGCGTGCAGATAATAGCCCACTGAAGGGGTTAGCTGGTACAACCCGCCTTTTACCGCGGTAAGCCCACTTCGCACCAGTTAACTTAACTAGTATCGAACTCGGTGCACGTACAAGCACACGTAACGTTCATTTTCATACTGATTGTCTGCAGTATTGACTTTCAACTTTGCAAGATTGATTGTCGCAGTTTCACTCTAACGAATTCATTTCCGGTATAATGAATTAAAATTAGACGGTACACGGGAATAGTTATAATATCATCTTGATTGTGAGGAAATTCTCTATGAAGTTATAAAAATCAAAGTTAGGAAAAGTATCGAATAATTAACATAGTTTATTAAGATATTATGATATCTGGAAAAATGTGTTTCAAGAAAAGAATTTTATAATTATTATTTTAGACTTGTAAGTGTTTATTAGAACGCAACACTATAATAAATTATTTTTATTAAATTTATATTTCAATTTTTTGATGCGATATACTTCCTAACGTGTCAACTAATGCGTGTTAACTCTGTCAATGATCGAGCAGAAACGATATTATTAAAGAGAGAGAGAGAAATTAATTGATGAAATTGCTAATTTTTATGATACATTCTTATACAGCAACTAATAGATTATTGCACAAATCAATATAGAAAGTTAAGACTAATTGATTGAATGTGATACTGAGTGTACCTATAGTTTACATAACAGCAGGCGCATCATCATTAGAATACTGACTGAATACTTGTTGCTCGATTAACGCAACAAAGTTGCAACGTAACGATCGATTTTGTACGATTAAGTATTCTGCGCTAATTCGCAATACCATCAGCAGTTTGGGATTGGTTTCTACGGCTAACGCGGCTGTTTAACTTAGGGAATTTCAGCGAGTTGTTATTAATGTGACAATGTCTGTTGTCGTATTCTGCAATGAATATCATTCGTCTCGTTTGTATTCTCAAACGGTGCAGTGAGATAAGTGATAATCAAAAATCGTTATACGAATAGGAGAAAATGCCGTTTATAATTATTAACGAAGAGAGTATATTGGATTTGTGATCAAGGAACAAAATTATGTAAAATCATTCCTAGCAAAACGATGCTACTAAGATAAGAGCTCAACGTCCTCACATTAGTCCGATTTTCATGCAAAATATCTATTATTTCGAAATAATCACTTGTAGCGCTCAGACGCGTTTCGTCATAATGAGTGACAAGAACAATTCGCGCGAGATATCGATTGCGCCATGAAGTCCGCAGAAATTTCATAAACTTGTAATTTTCGGAGTCAATGTGATTGCGGTTACGTTAACTCGCGCTGTCGCGGAGCTAACGCGCGAGATTTATCAGGCGCGACTAAACCACGAAAATACTACAAGACTGCCGGCTTGTCAGCGTACTTTACGATCACCCGGTATAGCGCGAGGATTAGTTTGTCAACGCCGGCCGGCGTGCGCGACGTGCGTGTGCATCCGCGTACACGCGTGCATACGTGTTGCGATGGGCAAGATTAGCAATTCTCGCGTCTCGCGTCTTCGATGGTTAGAAATATATAATGCGTTGTCCACACTTGGATACATTGTTGGCAAAGCCAGCAGTCCGGACAAATGGCTACGTTATGTGATGGCATAATGCGCCGATTACGTACACTCGTACCGTCAACGATGAGCGTGGACTCGAGTTTTAAATAGACCGTAGACATCCACAATAGAACTAAAATGTTCTCGTAAAAATATACCCTGCAGCAAATTTAAGAATTTCGAACCTATACGCAGGAATTATAATTACGTATATCCGCGAGTTATTACTTGTATAGCTTCGACAAAGATACTTATAGCGCACAATCCTTGCAATTCTAATTTAATTCTTTAAAAGAAAGTTAATCTAACAATAAATTAAATTGTCCGGTATTTATACATTTTTTTTCCAGCGTGACATGGATAGCTTAATTATATCAC